GTCCTCTAAAGTGGATCGGCTAGCTGCCGATAGGGGCATGATGAAGTCGCCTCTTGGCCCTTCAGCCTGGGCCCGGTGTAGGGGCTGCTAGCGGGCCGCCTGTCTCGGGTCTTCGCAGACCTGTGCCCACTCCCAGCAGGCCCAGGGGCCGCTCTAGCAGCCGCACTCAGCCGCCGGATTACAGGGGTGGTCTTCCAGGCGGCCTCGTGCCCCAGAGCCTTACCGGCGCCCCCCAAGACGCTCCAGGGGCCGGGGGGCTGGGCCCTGAAATCCCGGGGGAGGTCGTCGGCTGCTTTCCCAGCAGCAGCTCAGTTACTGGGCGGTCTGTACTTCCGTCCCTTGGGTGGTTTTCACCTTAACCCAGGGGTACGGACCGCAGCTCCGGCCCCTAGCCTTCGGCTGGGTCTAATTGACAGTCGTCAGCGATCCGGCAGGGGCCCTAGCTCTGGCCCAAGAGTTGTCCGTCCTTCTGTCCAAGGACGCAATCAAGCCAGTAAGACCCTCTGCTAAGCCCAGGGGGTTCTACTCGGCGTACTTTCTCGTGAGCAAGAAAGTCGGCGGATTTCGCCCGATCTTGGACCTCAGAGGAATCAACAGATTCCCGAAGGTGCTGCCATTCTATATGCTGACCACTGCATATGCACAGGTGGAGTGGTTCTCAACCGTGGACTTGAGGGATGCCTACTTCCACGTGGGCCGGGCAAGATGGTGCCCTATATTCAGTTCCTCCGGCCCTTGGGCAGACTGGCAGCTGCCTCGGCCGCTGAGCCCTTAGGCCCGCTGTCGTTGCGCCCCATGCAGATGCGGCTGAACATCCTTCACTTGGACGCAAGTGGCACAGGCACAGGGAAGTCAGGGTGTCGCAGCATTGCCTCCACTCTCTGTCACGCTGGAGGGGCAGGGCCTATCTCCTAGTGGGCGTGCCCATGGACGCCATCCCATCCCGCCAGGAGACCATCACCATAGGTGCATGTCTCTCAGGGTGGGGTGCAGTGCGGCAGGGCAGGACCGTTCAGGGTCAGCGGTCTGCCCAGGAGAGTGCGCGCCAGGTCAACGTGCTAGAGCTTCGGGCTGTGCAGCTTGCACTCATGCACTTTCTACCCCAACTGGGGGGCAAGAATGTGCGTGTTCCTTGGGGACAGCATGTACGTTGTTGCTTAGACAACAGTCCCTTCTAGATAGTGGACGTTCTCACTCCACTCTGAATTTATGTGGCTGCGATTTCTGCCCGACATGTTCGGGTCGACGGCGCCACGGCGGGGTGCCACAGGTCGGTGTCCCTCTTTATGAGAGGGGCTTTACGGCAGCGGCCCCTAGCACCCCGAGGGCTCCGGCTTGGGACCTGCCCCTGCTGCCGGATGCCCTATCATCTCCTCCCTTCGAGCCCCTGGCCCAGGGGGGGCTTAGGTGGCTGCCCACGAAGGCAGCATTTCTGCTTGCCATAGCCTCAGGGAAGCGAGTCGGGGAGTTGCATGTCCTCTCCACCTCCTTTGGGCAAATGTGGCATTCCTGCCCGGGGTCCTTCCACAAACCCACTTCAATCAGCCTGCCCAGCTGGCACGCTTTGACATTCAGGAGTACGGCACGTCGAAGTTGCTGTGCCCTGGGGGTGCCCAAAGGGCGTATATCAAGGCTACTGCCTGTATACGGCAGTAGGAGCAACTCTTGATTTTGCCCTGGCGGCACTAAAGGAGGTTATGCCCTCTAACCAGTGGCTGCCCCACTGGGTTGTCGATACCATCTCACAGGCTTATTATTAGTGGCCGCCCCCTGCCATCAGGCTGAGATGCCACTCTACAAGGAGCATCTCAACATCTTGGGCTGCCCTGAGGGTGGTGCCCCTGGAGACCATCTGCGCCACGGCGTCGTGGGCGTCTTCTAGCACATTCTCCAGTTGTCATCAGGTCAATGTCGCCACTCCCCATTCTTTGGGCGTGGTCCTTTTGCCGAGCTCCGCTGTTTCCAGTGGTGAGCAAGGGCTTGGATTCTTCATGACCTTGTTGGTATAAGTCATCCAGTGCTTAAAGCACCGCCTCTGGCGGTCAGTAGGGACGAAATAGAACGATAGTTACGGCTGTAACTACGGTTCTATGAGTCCCGGATGACCGCCAGAGTTCCCTGTCACTCAGAATTCTTGTGTGCTCGCGAGAAGATTCTGGGAACAGATCCTCTGACGACACCGGCTGATATAGCCGGTGTCACGTGGGTCACAGGTGACTTTGTTGTTATTGGTACTCGAGCTGCGCATGCGCGCGATGGACATATCCAGTGCTTAAAGCACCGCCTCTGGCGGTCATCCGGGACTCATAGAACCGTAGTTACAGCCGTAACTATCGCTTTAAGCACATGATACACTGACGGTGCCCTTGCAAAATAGATCGTGGATATAGATGAAAATGTCATCTGAAATAGGCAGAAAATGACAGGTTTATACCCACAGATGGTGAGCCAAACAATTTTTGTGATGCGTTTGTAATTATTTGTATTATTATTATTTTTAATAACCCTAACCCCTATCATGACCAATAGTCATAAAGTTCCAAAATCTAAGGCTAACACCCTAGTTGAAAAATACCAGAATTTCCTTTAGACAAATCCAGATGCCACAGTAAAGGTTATGAGCTGCTAGTTTGAAAATAACAAAAGTGTTTGTCCCTCGGGGGCAGCTGTCTGAGGCTATTGTCAGGTCTAACCATAGTGTACAGTGTCTAACATATCAAGCTCTCCGTTTGTATTCCTTTTACACCTCATACAGCCTATATTTAGTGCCATGTACTGTAGACCATCAGGGACGACCCCCTTGAGAGCCTCCATACATTCGTCATTCCAGACACAGACATAAAAACCTCCACAATGATCACAGATGTGCCCGAGCCTTTGATGCTGGCTGTAATCTACAGAAACACTATGGCTGCAATAGCCGGGAGGGAATGGGCCAGGAATTCCTCAGCACCATGCCCCGTGTGTGTTGATGAGGCTGTAAAAGCGGCTTGACACTGATAAAACATGAGGATAAAATTATTTTCATGATTCAATGGAGTATCATTTGGACTCTGAAGTGAGGAAAGGCTTTTATGTGAAGGTATCAAAGGTGTGAAAGAAAAATACTGTATTACACTGTCGGTTCAAAAAGGGACTTTAGTTATCTTTAGAAATGCTCGACTCTGGCAAATAGGACTTAAACTCACCTGAGGCGCAGGTCAAACCTTAGAACACATTCAATATTAAATAAGGGAGTATCACAATTTGAATCAATCAGCAATGCTTACTCCATCCATGTCACATTAAAACACTCAGTGTGTTAACCAAAGAGGCATCAGGGGCTGAGCATATGTCCAAATTGAGGCACAGGATTAACTTCAATTCCTGGGATTACTGCGAGCCCAAAAGGAAACGTGTTGCTCTTTAACCGTTTGCATTACATCACAAAACATGGGCATGTGTGTGCATGGTGTTAACATCCCCCAACAGTTGCCTACCTACTCTGCCTACACCCTGCCTAAAGCCTCACTGACAGAGGCTTAAGAAGTAAAGCATGGCAAAACAGATGGAGAATCAGAAATTAGCTCAGGCCCTGGTTACAAACTGTAGTTTCAACAAAAAGACGTGAAAATAAGCCAATTATGTCATAAACCCTAATAACAATGAGTATACAAGATGCTCAGTCTCAAATCCTCGTGAGGAAACAGAGCAAAGGGTAGCTACACTGACACATCTAAACCCTCAAACAAATTTCAATACAACAAACTCCTTTCTCAAAATCCAGTTACTCTGCTCAAACTGTGGGCCACCTGTTGTCGATTCCTAGACAGTTCTAGCATGAAGAGGCCAGATCTCAGAAATTATTACAGAGAAGGATGGGAACGAGAAACACACATGGACCTGTGCACCCAAAGAGGGCTGAATGATATGTCCTCTAAATCTACCGTAATAAAAACATGTAAATATAAGTATATTTTACTGCAACAGTACATCATATTTCCTGAAACATATTTGTTCTGACAAGTGTATGACAGGAGTTCTGTTTACCAGTCACAACAGAAAATGGCACTGAGAAATGAATTGGTACATTTTCACCAAATGTGGGGTTCAAAGGGCTTGGTGAAATATTCCTATATTTGCCAACTGATAGCAATTCAGAAACGTGTTAATGCCTCAAAGGTTATTTTGAATTTCTCTGTACGTGCAAGTATGTAATATAAATGAAGTATCAGGAAAGTTCTCTGCCAACTAGCAAGGTTGCTAACTTAGAAAACATTGTTAAGTTGTAAAATATTTTATGCACACTTTCAACCATATTTCCCCCCCCCCCCCCCCCCCCCAATTGTGTAAATAATGGGATATATTATGAATAATATATATAATATAATCAATCAGACTGTTTTCTCTGACTTTCTGTTCGGACCAAAGTCAACACTGTCAAGATGGCTTTTTAATTGGTCAGCAACACATACTTTAATGATAAAGTTTACCAAAATCAAACGTAATGCCTATTTCTTTGCAGATTTAATTCATCCTCACAATAAAATCATTGTATTGAGTTCAATTAATAGTCCTTGAAATCATGGTCATTTTTTTAAAAGGTGTCCAACTTGCTACTTGCTTTGCTGGATGGCTAGTTCAATTTCTAGTGAGATATGATTAGAGGTTTGTTATACAGCCCCCCTGTACAGCCTAAAAATATATCCATACACTCAAGTTCACTTCCCTAAATCTGAGTGCAAGTAACTGTGGTGACTACAAATAGCTTCCCCCTGCACCGTTAGAGTCCCTTATCTCTGCTACATAGTGTCCTTGGAGGCTACAGCTGCAGTGCGAGGACAGCTGTTACTGTAGGAAGCAGGACAGAGAGGAAGGGAGTCTGCAGTTTGTAGCCTGCCAACTTCTGTGTGTGGAGCTCAGATTCCCAGCTCCACAACCAGAGTAACCTGTCCCCAAGCTCTCAGCCTGAGCCTCAAGTCTCACCCCCGAGCTGCAGAGCCCCAAGTCGCTGCTCTTACCTTGGCTGCAAAACTTGACATGGATCAGGTAATTTGAGATCCACGGGTTCCGGTACATGTTGGCAATAAATTCAGGGGGAGAGGGTTAGTCAGGAAATCAGGGAAGAAAGATGAAAAGAGACGCAGCTGCCTAAGAGGTGATACAGCAACAAAAGCAGTTGTTCAGTCCTCCGGGACAGTCAGAGAGGGAGACAGAGGGGAGTCAGGTAGCTTCAGAGAGAGGTAAAGGCGAGAGGGAGGGGAGACAGTAGATAGAGACGTCCTATCCAAAGTGTCTGCGCAAGTGAAGTTGGTCCTGGTAAGTGGTGAAGCTGCAGCTCTGCCTCTTCTGAGATCCTCTCTGGTTCCTCTAACTAACCACTAGGGCTAACCAGTGCCCACCACAACAACCTGCAGGCTAAAAGCTGCTCAGCACAGGCTAAGCTCATTAGCCTGTGCAAGCAAATTAGGCTCCATCCCTTCTGCAGACAGGAGCAAAGTGTCCTGCATGCTTCAGAATGATCCTGAAGAGAAAACGAGAATGTGTGTGATAGAGGGACGGAGATAGTTAGGAGTGTCCCAGGAGAGAGCTGCCTTCCCTTGGCTCGCACACAGGAGCGGGATGCCAAAGAAAACGGTGCATAGCCTCAGAAAAAGGAGGGGAGAGAGGAGAGCGCGCAGGCAGGGTGCATGAGAGTGGAAATGAAGTGCGCAGGGAAAGAGGAGAAAGTTAAAATGCCCTTCTCAGCCAGATGAGAAATTCCAGTCATCTCTCAGCGGGGTGAAAATAAAAGGAACAGCACGCAGAGCGAGAGAGAAAGAGGAGGTGGGAGGGACAACGAGAGGGTAAGAAAGAGAGCAATAGTGAAACAAAGTCAGGAAGAAAAAGGCAGCGAGAGTGTGTAAACAGTAACAAGAGACACATAATACTACTATTATGCCATACACTGGTCCTTCCGAAAACAGCTAAATGGAGGAACAAGGTCAATAAAAATAGGTTGATTGATAGACCCCCACCCATTACAATCAATTGCCCTTTTACCAAACTCGTCAAAATGTTTGTGTGTCTCAAATCACGCATTAAAGGATATTCCCTGCGAGTCATGGTGTGTGTAAACTCATTTCCTACTGTGATTATGCTGTAAATGAAAGCCAAGAACAACACAAAAGCACCTGCACACACACATCTCACCTATACATCAATGTGACGTAGTAGACGTGCTTATCATTGTAGTGAGAGGGCGTTGCAGAGAGGCTGGCACAGAGCCCAGTGCTGCTTTTCAGAGGCTGGAAAACAGTGAGCAGTATCTTATCTTCCTGCTGCATACAGAGCAAAGGCTGTCATCGCCAATATGCGCACATCAACATAAAGCAGACCTAGTGGATGGAAGCAGTCACAAAAGTCAGTGTCTCAATTGAGTGGTAGGGTGAAAAAGAATGGCAAGAATAGCAGTCAGATGACGCCTGAGAATGCTATTTCTGTGCTGTGATTTTTATAGATCTCTGTGCCTTTCTTCCAACTTCTAAGCCACGATTAAAAAAAAAAAACCTTCATGGACTAGGCTTATCACATCATAAAATGTGTAAGATCACATAAATCTGTCCAGCCTCACCATCACAGGTGTGTCAAAATGCAGCCTGGCTGACTGGGGTGAGTAAACTTTATAGGTGGGATGTTTGGATCTGTTTCTAAGATGAGCTCATCATGGCTGCATGTTTGTGAAGTCTGCACACATACATCACAAACATGCCAATTCACAGGGGGGGAGCTGCCTCCAACACTTAAACTGTCTTTTCAACAACAGCCTTCAGGGGTATGACAGACTGTAATTTATCAAACTTACTGCAAGACTGCCAGAAGATGATTAATAAGGTGATATATTAAGGAAGTAAAGAAGATCTCTTGATAATTATTTCACCTTATCTGGAGGTGATTGTAAATGTATGTCATTTAAATGGAAAGCAATGGGCTAAAGAGGCTAGCACTAAACGAAAAAATAAGTATGTTTGTTTCGTTCAAATTGCAATCATTGCTCTGATATATGATTTCAGCATGATACAATTCCACTGCAAGACAATAAAATGATCTAATTGAATTATCTCCCAGACCTACTTCATGTCTCGGTTCAGTCGCTTTCAGTCGGCACATCCAATGATTTTAGCTGCTACCAGCTTAAACACAAGCTTTTCAAAGCTTAAGGGTAAAGCATACTCATTACTTGTCAGACAGTTCAAAAGCTTCAGACAGTGTCATGATGTCGTCTCACTGCTACCATTTTGTGTTTCTTCAAAACAAAGAAAGTCGATTTACATATGAGATTTGTTTCAACTACATAAGTTATAATCCAAAATACGGTAACCATTCAACCAGGCAAACATGCTCTGTAAAGCACCGTTAAAAAAAAGGCATAAAATGTGATCATATGCAAACCACCAACACAGGTCACACTTTGGGAATTTTCATCATCACCTCTACACCTTCCGGCTGTCTGTAATGTAATGTTTGTTTTTTTGACTCATCTACTACATGGATGACATCAGACCTACAAAACCACCTGATGGTTTCTACCCTGTTATTAGCAATGATGACTCTTTACTGCCAAGGATGGGCAAGACCTTACATGTCGCTGCCATGATGCAACACTGCTCTTGTTCTCTAATCTTTGTGATGGATTGTAGACAAATATGGGCCCGACAGAAGAGCCATGCATTCAAACAAAGCCTACATACTAAAAATGCACATATGCATTAACAATAAATTGATTTTTGTTGGCGTTCAGACCTTTTTTAGGTGTGCTGTAGCAGGTATGAGGAGTGCAAGTATGTGTATTGCTACATAAGCGGGAATTACTTTTGCTACAAATCACGGACAAAGATTCAAACAGGAAGCCGCAATTCAAACAAATTGAGGTAAACCAGCTGAGTGTTGACTCTAAGAGCTAGCCTTGCTTTGGATTATGTAATTAAACCTAGGAGGTGCAGGTTTACATCTAATGTATCCCTTAAGTGGCCCTTACTTTGTTTAGAAACTGTGTGGGAACTAATTTAGGTTTGCTTCTGTACATTTAAATACATTCCATAAAACAGCTTAAAATGGTTACAGGAACGGCAGCTCAGAAACCAGAAACTGGATCAAAGTTCAATGAGAATGAAATACTGGAGCCATTTTCTGCCACCAACTTGATAAAGTGGTGAAACAGATGTGTCAGGAATACTATAGCCATTTAAATAGGTCCATATAATCCATATAGTCAATACCAATAGTTTTGAAGTAGCTGACAATTGACAATAACTTGATTTTCAAAGTATTGTTCTGACATTTTCATGACAAAACATACATGTATTAATGCTTATCCAAGGCTTTTGTTCTCATCTGCCTCTGAAATGTTGCACTTAAACTCTACCCTAAAACAACTATAAAAAGCAAAACAATTTAGAAGAAAGGAGTCTTTGTAGAAAGAAATGCAGCTGGTTGTAAATAGTTGAAGATGTCTCAAAGTTTAAGGTAAACTCAGTTATAGTATTTAAAGTGTCAATTAAGTGAGCACATTAAAAAGGAGTCAAGTTGTCAGTCCTACTGGAATTGGAAGCAATGAAAATCACTTTTAGTGTTATTGCTTAAAGCATGTTCAACTTAAGTTTCAAGTTTGAGCCCTGTTGGCAGTTTAGTTGATTAGGGTGAGAGCTGTTGACAGCATATCTTTCATCTGAATGATATGAGATGCAAGCTATCAAAATGCCAATCAATGCCTAATGCAGTGGTTCCCAAAGTGGGGGGCGCAGAGGTATGACAGGGGGGGTGCGAGAGACCAGGAGAAAAAATGGTTAGAAAAAAAAAAAAAAAAAAAATCATAATTTGAACAATTATTGATTCGAAAATAATATGATACAGTACTATTACGTCTGGGCCTCTGTGTTTCATTAAAGCTCGGCTCTGTGTGTGTGTGTGTGTGTGTGTGTGTGTGGAACGAGCCATTTTGTGTGCGTGCGTGCGCAAGCGAGAGAGAGAGAGAGAGAGAGAGAGAGCGAGAGAGCACCGGTACCGGAGATTGTAGTTGTTAGCTTCTGGTGCTAGCGAGCTACGCTAACGGATACAAGGAGTTTTTTCAACAACAAGCTGGAGGAGAGTCCTCTCCTGTTGGACTGAGAGGCTCAGTGAACTAAAGGACTCTGAGTGTTAGATAGTTAACTTTAGTCTAAGTTATCTCAGTGGGTGTCAAACGTTTTGGTCACCATTAATGTAAACAATTATTTCCGAGGCACACGTTTATATGATCATTATAGTTGTAAAAAATAAGAGAATAAATGAAAAACAGGTATGAAATACTATATGACAGTAAAAAAATAATACAGTTTTAAAGGAGAGTGATTTGTAAAATATCCATAAAGAAAAAGTAAATCTGTTTACAGTTCTGTTTCATATGGGTGTTGAGAGAGGTATCCATTGTTCTCAAAGTGCACCAGATTGATGCTTTTAACTTCAATATTTAAAAATAAATCTTCCCGGGGGAGCTTGCCCCCGGACCCCCCTATACACCACCTATAAAAATAGCACTTTACCCCTGCTTACACCTATCTGCCTTGAGCCTTCATTGTAACTGTCACACTGTGTATTTGCGTGGGGAGTGTTGCAGTAGAGAATTCCACTGTAGCGACCGGTAAATTAATGGGAAACCCTAAATGTTTGAGCACCCTCTATGAAACGTCAAGCTACCCCACAGCACCCCAAAATAAATATCTGGCGCCGCCAATGAGCCTGACTATTTGTGATGGGGGGGCCCGACTTAGTTTTTTCTCCAAAGGGGGGGCCTGACAGAAAAAGTTTGAGAACCACTGGCCTAAGGCATGATCGCAACTGACATGTCATTTGCGTAATGATGAAAGCTGTAGTTATTAGATAAAATAATCTTAATTGGATAAATTCCAGCAAAGAAGCCTTTTAACTGACAAACAACTGCCAGTACAAATAAGGAGTTGAAAGTGGTTCAAATGTCAGTTGAACTTTATACTGCAAATACTTTCAGCTTGTATGTAAGCGGTCATGCCAGCTCAAAAGGATAATTTGTTAATACAAATTATGAAGTAGAATAAAAAGGTTAGCCGACTGATCTTTCGGTAAAATAACACTTGGAGAAAGGCACCTCTCTTTGAGATTAAACAGCAACAAGAGTCAGGCAGGTTTTGTTTAATGTCATAACAACAGAGCCACACCTCTCAACTAATCATCCCCCCAGATGTTCAGTCAGCTAGAAATTCAGAATGGATGCTGTTTCAGCCTGGACAAGCTCACATGTGCAGCCAGTCAGTGAGTCATTATTAGATAAGTACTTCCAGGCAGTCCATGTTTGCACTTAAAATGACCTCTAGCGCGCAGAGGTATCCAAACAGGTCTGCTATAAGAAATAATTGCTTAATGGCTGCTTCACCTCCACATAGGCATGCTTTGGGATGTTTCCAAGCCATCTTAGAAATAAAGAATTGATGGCGTCCCCTAAGAAAATATATTTGCCTTGTCTGGTGAGAGAGTGGCGCTGGGATCCAAAGCGCAGTGCCATAAATTCAAGATGGAGAGGAGGGGCGGTAGAGAATGAAAGGTAAATATATTCACATGCACACTCCAAGGAAGTTGGAAGGTGGAGGCTAAAACTCCATTTGCAATGTTGTTGGATTTCTTTTACCGGGCATGTTGGCTTTGCAGCATTAAGCTTTAGTTCATATAAATGACATTTATATGAACTAAAGCTTTATATGAACTAAAGCTTAAT